GAGAGATGGGGATGGACTGGGAGGGACTGGGAAGGACTGGGAGGGTACTGGGAGGATATACTGGGATATACTGGGATATGCTGGGATATACTGGGAGTGACTGGGAGCTGGGAGGGACTGGGAGTGACTGAGGGGGCACTGGGATGGACTGGGAGGGACTGGGGAGGGAACTGGGTGGGACTGGGATGGACTGGGAGGGACTGGGATGGGGCTGGGGGGGAACTGGGAGGGACTGGGAGGGGATTGGGGAGGACTGGGAGGGACTGGGACCAAACTGGGATGGACTGGGAGGGGATTGGAACAGATTTGGAGGAACTGGGAGGGACTGGGAGGATACTGGGAGCACTGGGAGGGAACTGGGACGTACTGGGAGCTGAGAGGGTATACTGGGACATACTGGGACATACTGGGATATACTGGGTGTGACTGGGAGTGGCTGGGAGCTGAGAGGGCATATTGGGATTGACTGGGATATACTGGGAGCTGAGAGGATGTACTGGGGTATACTGGGAGTGACTGGGAGGATATACTGGGATATACTGGGATGTACTGGGATGTACTGGGAGCAGTTGTGGGGATGGCTGACAGGAAACTGGAGGGTACTGGGGGGACTAGGAGTCTCCAAGGAGTGAGTGGAGCATGACTGGGAGGGACTGGGAGGATACTGGGAGCACTGGAAGTAACTGGGAGCACTGGGAGCAGTGCCCCTCCAGACACCCCCCAATGCTCCCAGTATCCACCCAGTCCCTCCCAGTGCCTTCCCAGTCCCTCCCAGTGCCCTCCCAGCCACTCCCAGTCCCCCCCAGCATCCTCCCAGTGCCTCCCAGTACCCCCCCCAGTCCCTCCCAGTGCTCCCAGTCACCCCCAGTCACTCCCAGTGCCCCCCCCAGCCCCTCCCAGTCACTCCCAATCACTCCCGGTGCTTCCCAGTTCCCCCACGGTCACTCCCAGTCTCACCCCAGTTGCCTCCCAGTGCCCTCCCAGTCGCCCCCAGTCACTCCCAGTCCCTCCCAGTGCCTCCCAGTCCATCCCAGTCCGTTCCCAGTCCATTCCCAGTCCATTCCCAGTCCATTCCCAGTCCATCCCAGTCCCTCCCAGTCCCTCCCAGTCCATCCCAGTCCCTCCCAGTTCATTCCCAGCCCATCCCAGTCCATCCCAGTCCCTCCTAGTCCCTCCCAGTCTGTCCCAGTTTGGTCCCAGTCCATCCCAGTCCATCCCAGTCCATCCCAGTGCCTCCCAGTCCCTCCCAGTCCATCCCAGTGCCTCCCAGTCACTCCCAGTCCATTCCCAGTCACTCCCAGTTTGGTCCCAGTTTGGTCCCAGTCTCTCCCAGTTTGGTCCCAGTCTCTCCCAGTTTGGTCCCAGTCCATCCCAGTTGTGTCCCTGGGTCCCTGCTGGGGGTGGGGGAGGGGCGGGGACACCCTAAAAATACCCGGGGGGGGGGTGGGGGAGGGGCTGGCCCGGGGCCCGAGCGCTAAAAATAGCCCGGGGGGGGTCACGTGACCCCGGGAGGGGGAGGGGGGGCACACCGGGGGGGGGAGGGGAGGGGAGCGGCACCGGGACCCCGCAGGTAACGGGGGAGGGGACGCAGGGGGGGACACCTGGGATTGGGGACAGCTGGGGGGACAACTGGGGACACGGGATTGGGGACACAGGGCTGGGATTGGGGACACCAAGAGGGGACACGGGGAGGGAACACGGGGTTGGGGACATGGGGGACACCTGAGGACACCTGGGGGGACAACTGGGGACACCTGGGGACACAGGGCTGGGATTGGGGACACCAGGAGGAGACACGGGGAGGGGACACCTGGGACTGGGGACAGCTGGGGACACGGGAGGGGGACACGGGATTGGGGACATGGGGGACACCTGGGGACACCTGGGGGGACAATTGGGGACACCTGGGGGGTCACAGGGCTGGGACTGGGGACCCGGAGGACAACAGGGAAGGGGACACAGGACTGGGGACACGTGGGGGGACACGGGGAGGGGACTCGGGGAGGGGACACGGGAATTGGAGACACCTGGAGGGGACACCTGGGGGACACCTGGGGATACGGGACTGGGGACCTGGGGGACACCTGGGGACACCTGGGGGGACAATTGGGGACACCTGGGGACACGGGGCTGGGATTGGGGACACCAGGAGGGGACCTGGAACTGGGGACACCTGGCAGCTTTGGGGGGACATGGGGACGGGACACGGGATTGGGGACACCTGGGACTGGGGACAGCTGGGGACACGGGAGGGGGACACGGGACTGGGGACACGAGGGACACCTGGGGACACAGAGCTGGGGTTGGGGACACCTGGGGGGACAATTGGGGACACCTGGGGACATGGGGCTGGGATTGGGGACACCAGGGAAGGGGACACGGGACTGGGGACACGTGGGGGGACACGGGGAGGGGACACGGGGACTAGGGACACCTGGGGCGACACCCGGGGACATCTGGGGACACAGGAGGGGGACACGGCACTGGGGACCCTGGGGACACAGGATTGGGATTGGGGTCTTGGGGACACTGGAATGGG